CGAATTCGGAGTCGAAGTCGACGAATTCGCGCCCAAAAATGTTCGGAGTCGAAAGTTCGGAAGTTCTCGGAGTCGGCCCACCCTTAAAAGGAAGTAGAGGAAGTTGATGGGAGCGGTGCTCCCAGATTTTACACTTTACACCGTTTTCAGTGCCTATAGGCCTATGCCAGCCAAAATTTCTTCAGTGAGGTGACTCTTTCTTTTCACTCCCAGTGTGTGGAGATTTTCAAGAGGTAAAATTTGCTTTTAGACCCAATGCAGTGATGTTGTTTTTACCAGGGGCCTATTTAATTCAATTTGACCCCTTTTCCTGCTTACTCTTTTTTTTTTTTGGGTGGGGGGGCTGTGGAATTGTTTGGAAGCTTCTGACTAAGGCATATCATTGTAAACTAAACTCAATAATTTTCTACTTTTTTTTTTTCTCTTCACAATGTTTTATTCTTCACATGAGGGGGTACTCCTCCCCTGCTTTTATTATAATGTTATTTCTTAGATCTTTTGGAAAGCCTTTTTATAACATGAAATTTCTCATCGCGCATTAGGCCCTAAGCCTAGGCTATCCTATGCAATTTTGTTTCATTTCTTTCAACTTCAGTGTCCATATTTAGCATTAACATCATAATATGGCTGAATTTTTAAATAAGTGTAAAGTGCTCCATACACGCTCAAATCTGTTTGTCAAACATTTTTTTTATCAAGCTTCTTTTTTTGACAGTTTGACATTTGCCCTACACACTCAATTTTTTGTATCAAACATTAGTATGTGCCAAGAGTTTGTAATGGACAGACCAACAGCGTTGGCTCTTGATTTAGCCTTGTGAAGAAAATCCCCCGAAAAAGAAAAGAAAGTGGACCAAAAATTGGTTTTTGCAGCGCTAAAATTTGGCCATTCTAAATTATTAGATGAGTTGCGATGTAGGCTACCGAGCCAAATGAATTCAGAAACTTTTTGCGGATGGACGGAGATTGACTACGCAGGAATAAAATAGCATTTAAAAAAACATAATGAAGGCTCGTAGATATCATTGGCAATGGCCCTGGACTTTTGAGAATTATGCAACTTTTTCAACTGATCCCTTCGAAAACTCGATCTCATTGAGTTAATTTTCTTTTTTCTATATACCACTCCTTGTATTTCAGCAGCAAAGCGCCATAGGCAGCTTTTTTTTTTTAAATCTCGGTCACTATATTCTTTACTTTTAGCTTTCCATAGTTCAGGCAAACGTACTCCTGGTACACTTCAATCAGCTCCAGAATATATTTTTTTTTCTCCTTTGATGGCGCCACGATGATATAAAAAGTGGATCTTTTCTGTCCGGCAGCACTGAAAAAACTATACATTTGCACAATTTAAATTTGATGAAGCCCACACACGATCAAATTTTTGGCTCATTTTTTTGCCCACTTAAATTCTTTTCTTTTTTGTTT